GCATCATTTATAGCAAGAATGTCAAAATAGATATGCTTGATTTTTCCCCAAAGTATGACCAATAAGTATTAATCATTGGGCAAAGATCTTACATTTAGAGTATCAATAGTCAGGTTTAATTTTTAGGTTGTCTAAACATGGTGTTATTCTTAGTACTCTGTCCTGCTTTCCACTACTTTGCTACTGTCACAACAGAACTAATATTCTCTATTCCCTTGACTTCTATGGCATTTCCACCTCTTTGACCACTCAGTTTTCTTTATATGTTTCTTTTTCCTCTTCTTGTTCCTTAAACATAGGCACCTCCCAAAACTCTTATTTATCCTTTTCTCTAATATACTTTCTTCCTTAGCGATCTCATACACACTCATGGCTTCAATTATTATCTCCATGGCAGATGACTCCCAAATTTGTAGCTTCCTTGCCTGTCCCCTGGGCAGAAAGCATGACAGCACACTGGGCTTGGAGTCAGGAAGACTCATCTTCCTGAGTTCAAATCCAGCCTCAGACAGTTACTTACTGTGTAACTCTGGGCTACTCATTTAACCCTGTTTACCTCAGTGTCCTCATCTATAAAATGAGCTGTCCACTTCTTAAGTCTCCAGCGTAAATTCTCTGATAGTAAGGACTACCTTGATTTTGCCCAATTAGTTCATTGTTAACTCTCTCCACCTGGATGTCCTACTGATATTCAATAAATCCCAAACTGGACTCACTATCTTTCCTCCTAAACTGACTCCTCCTAACTTCCCTATTCTTATTGTTGGTAATACTATCTTCCCAGTCATCCAGACTCAAACAAAAAGTCCAGAGTCATTTTTAACTTTTCCTTTTACTTTACCCCTCTTCAAGCCATGTGCCAAGTTCTGGTGAATTCCAAAATATCATTAGGATCTGTCCCTTCCTGATGCTACAACAAGGCCCTCATTACTTCTTACCTAGACTATTGTAATAATCTCTGAACTGGTCATTATGCTTTAGATCTCTCTTCTCTCCATCCAATCCTTTTTTCACAGATGCCAAAATAATCTTTTAAATTGCACAGGTCTTTGTATATCATTCCTCTATGGTGGGAGATATGCACTTGAAACCTCTGGCTTCTCTCTGCCACCCAGAGGCCCCCTTTTGCACCATGGTTAGCCCATTGCTCCGAGGAGTGACAGAGTGACCATTGGGCTGGAAGAACAAGGGCAGCCAGACCTTGGGAGCTGGGCCAGACTTCCCTCCTGGGAAGGCTTTGACTGTTCTGTACTTTAATAAATGTTTATTCTTTTAGGAAAAGAAAGAAAAAAACCTGTTAAGGCCAGTATTCAAGATCTCCCACATTCTTGCTCTACTCTGTCTTTCTTGTCTTATTTTATACTTATTTTAAAAACTTGATATTCCAATTGAACTGAACATTTAGCTGTTTCATATCTTTTCTTACCCTCTTTGATTTACTCACTGCTCCTTATGACTGAAATATATCACCCCTATTCTCCACTTATTGACATCTTTTCCATACTCTCAAAGTCTAGTTCAGACATCAGCTTCTCCATGAAGAGTAGAAATGAATGCTTGTTTCTTGAACCCTTGACCTGCTTTCCTCTTTGTCATTCATACGCTGCCAATTCTGTACCTAAGACCACCCTGACCACCTGCTTTCTCCACTTCTTTTCCTATGCTGATATACATAAATACTTCAATCACTGAAGTATGAGAAGTTTGAATGTTGAAAATTGAGGTATAGGGCTCAAGCCCCTGACTTAACTGTAGATTCCTTGAGAGTAAGGAGTGTGTTGGATTTCATCTTTGTGTCCCTATTACCTGACACACCATCATGAATATGGTTGGCATTTAATAATTATGTTTACTCATGAGAGGTACTTAATAAATGTTCCTTGAATTGAACAGATTCAAGATGGACAGATGACATCAACTAGCTTAGTTCGTAGGACCATAGATTTTGAGCTTAAAGGACCTTAGAAGTCTTTTAGTACAACACCCTTGTTCTATTGATGACAAAACTAAGGCCCTGAGAGAATAAGTGATTTGCCTAAAGTCACACTGGTAGTAAGCAATAGAAGTAGGTTTCAAACCCAAGTCCTCTGATTCCAATTTAAATTGCTTTTGTCCTTCATAGACTCCTAAATTGATTGACAATCCAGACAAAGTGAAATACTCTGGTTAATCAATGAGGGAATTTTGTGGCTATTGGAATTCATCAATCAACCCCTGCATATTGACCCAGAATGGTGATCTCAATATTTCAATGATTTTTTTAATACCTTAGATGGGGGAAGCCCACCCCATTTTTCCTTTTCTATTCATTGCAATGAATATACATTTCTGCATTTTCTCCTGTTGATTGTATCTAGGCAGGAGACTTGTTGCTATTAAAGTTCTTGGTGATATTTGGTATGGCCCTCAAACTAGGGAACCTATTACTCCTCTGTTTAAAAAAGCCTCATTGGGTCTCCATTGCCTTAAGAATCAACCAATGAATCAACCAATCACAATTTTAGGCCAGGCTGTGTGGTTGGTGTTGGAGGACATAATGCAAAAACGAACAAACAAGTCCCTATTCTCAAGGAACTTACATTATATTGGAGGCAAATGCCATGCATACATATGCAACGTGATCACATGGCTTTGATATTGCTTCTGACTCTGTGTCTATACTTTCTGGCCTTAGGGGAAAGAATATTGAATACCGAACAGATGAGTTGTGGCCTTGTAACCTTCAAAATGTTGGGACAGCACCAGGAGTCTAGAAACTGGAAACCAAACTCAGAGTTTGTGAGTAGCTGAGCTCAGGGAGAAGCAAAGTCTGAATAAACTTCTTGGTCCCGCCCAGCCAGTGGATTGATCCCAATGCACTAATTTCTGGAAGCAAGGGAATGTCTTTTTCCATAAGCTATGCCATGTTTGGAAGTGAAATTGGAGGGGTAAATGCTTTGCAGCAACCACTTTAAGTTCGAACCCAGTCTTCCCAGGAATGGAACTAGCATAGCAACTGGGCAAATGTGTCCCCTTTTCTGGGGACACATTTTTTTCTTTCTCTTGTTATTTTTTATATTAAATATTCTTTTGCAAAATCCAGCTAATGTAAAATGATTAGAAAAAATTAAGGAAATATTAACTGGCATTGACAATATCAGAAGAGGCACATTAGAATGGACACTTGATCTGAGAGCATCAGAAAGAAATCCAAACTCTTCCAGAATTCCCCTAGGACTCCAAAGGGAAATATATCTAGCTCTCCTTGCTCTGAGGGACTCAGCTTAACGGTATGAATGAGAGTTGGGATAAGGACCCTCCAGAGTCTATGTAGGCTACCATAAACATACCTAAAAGATAGATGCAAAGTAAATCCAAAGTATTTTCTTGAAGGGGCCGCTAGGGGGTGTAGTGAATAGAGTGCCAAACTTGAACTTAGGAAGACTCATCTATATTCCTGAGTTCAAATATGGTGTTAGAAACTTATTAGCTGCATGAGCCTGGGGAAATAACAACCCCGTTTGCCTCAGTTTTCTCATTTGCCAGAATGATCTGGAGAAGAAAATAGCAAAGCACTTCAAGTGTCTTTGCCAAGAGCAACAGCAACAACAAATTTCTTGAACAAGGTGAAGTCTAGAAAGGGGAAGAAGAGAGACAATCAGGAAAATGGATCTTGAGCTAAGCTTGAAAGGAAACTAAGGATTCTAAGAGACAGATACAGGAAGGTGTTCCAGGAATGAGAGACTGACTGTGCAAAGGAAAGGATGGTAGAGTGAATGTCCTGTTTAAGAAGGTAAGCTTGGCAGAACTGGAAAAGGCTCTGGAGTCAGGTTGTGAAAAGCCTTACATGCTAAACAGAGAAGTTTGAATTTGACCCCAGAGGAGATAAGAAGTCATAAGAGCCATTGAGCAGATGAATGGCACAAGCAAACTTGTGCTCTAGGATAAAACAAAACAGAACAAAAAAACCAAAAAACCCTCATGTTTTACACTTAAATCTCATCAAAATCTGGCTCCAGCCTATGCTTCTAGATTGGTGCCACATTATTCCCCATAGTGTATTCCATATTCCAGAATGACTGGCCATTCATTGTTCCTTGCACATGGTGATATGTGGTAGATATCCTAGTATTTCTGTCTGTGTAGTTTTCTGGGACATTGTCCATTTTAGGGGAGAAGTCCCCTGGGCAGTTTTCCTAAATTAGGTTAATCCAACCTTGGAGAACCTTGCCCATTATTGGAACAACACTATAGCCATGTTAAGACTTCTTTATTAAGGCTATCTCATATCTTGCTGGAGTTTCCTAGATTTAGAGGGGCTCTAATCTACTAGTATAGGGTAGAAGTAGGGATAGGAGTAAGGCTAAGGGAAATGCTATGCTACTGCCTATAAAAAGCTTTTCCTGATTCCCCCCTCTTTCTATCCTCAAATAATCATGCACAGACTTCCATGATTGCATGCTCTTTACCCTGAGAAGAATGTAAGTTCTTTGAGGGCAGAGACTGTCATTTTGTCTTTGAATCAGCACTGGGCATGGTACCTTGTATGTTATAGGTCTAGTAGGAATATATTCTTGTTGGTTTCACATGGCTTATTGGTTGTGAGGAGACATAAGGGACTCAGAGATAGGCTCTTCTGTTCTGCTTGTATTTTGCTTGTTGCAATCATCACATGGACACATTGAATAGTATAAAGGACACAACCTTAAGCCAAATACAGTTCAAATACTCTTCATATTTAGAAGAGTAAAACAAAGGGGAGGGACTACATGGCCTTTGAGGTCCTTTCCAGCACTAGACTTACCATCCTATGATGCTATGACCTAGAGTCCAGGACCAGAAGCTCAGTATCCCTTTATCCCAGTTCCAGAAGTTTTTGCTAGGTTGACTGATATGATTAATGGTGCACCATTGTAAGGTCCAGAATTCCCCCACTTAGGGAGTCCTGCATCTATCTCCTAAACAGTGGGACAAGTTCGATACCAAAAGAAAAGGCCAAGGAGCTCCAGATTGATGATAGGTAGTAGTTTAATCATTTAGGTTACTTACACTGAGGGCCAGTATGATGGATTCCTGTTAAGAATTCAGGTAATCCGAGGTCTAGGGTGGTGGCCACACCAGTGGTGGATCCCCGCAAAAACAACAACAACAACAACAACAAAAACCCAAACCAAAATCCCCGTGGTAATTACAGAAAACAGATAAAGGGAGGAGAAGCTAGAGAGCGTATTACTACTGATGGGTGGATAGTTTTGGTTTTCTGTTTAGTAATGAGCTTGCTTGTTAAGCCAATGTTATGCCCAAACATAAGTTTGTGTGTTGATCATGTATTGGTCACATATAGGTCATGATACTCTTGTTATGACTTTCATAGTTCATAGTATCTAAGTTTTGATTTTTTAACAGGTCACCGTGATTGGGCTTCCACCTTTCACAGAGTTTAAGTTTTCATGGCTTTTACTTATTGCTGTATTTCATGGCTTTTCTCCAATTAGGACCCCACAGACATTCTGGTGTATTCATCTTTTCTTGTTTGATGAAGACTTGATGCCATAGTAGATATAATCCTTTAATTCCTGCATAGAATATACCATGGACTTAAGAAATAACATTAAGTACAACATATCTCCATTCATTCATTCTCCCATGGTTGGGGGACATAAAACATTCATGCTCTTATAGTTTGTTTCATATCCCTTGTTGGTTACACCCCAGTGAGATTTTGTATAGAGAAACAAACTTCTTTTCTCTTGTCAGGAGACTAAGCTGAGACTTTGGGCCTCCAAAACTTTGCAGTTTTATTCATGGTGTGGTGAACGTGATATAGCTCTTAGACTTCTATTTCACCTAAATTAGAATCGTGGGCTTTGCTTACCCTTACAGATGACATTCAATGAAGTGGAAAAAAACCTAAACATTTCTATAAGCAACAAGACTTGTTCCATCTTCGTCTCCTTTTTGCAAACCCCAAATTCCAGAACTTGTCAACCTCCCAGTTTTCTTCTTTGCATAAACTGTAATTTTATGCAAAACTGATCTCTGATGCTCATAAAGTTGAAGTATTCCAAGTGCTGCATAATAGGCCCACAGCACAATTGTCAGAGGCTTAATAAAAGAGAAAAGAATATTAAATTCTTTAAAAATCATCTCCCACTGGCTCTCATCTGCTATTATCCTGATTACTTAGTCTTCTCTTGCGTCTGAGTTTTAATATAAAGCCTTCAAATCTAGCCCAGTGTTTATTGTGTGAACTTTACAGGAGGGACTGGTCCAGATGACTTCCGTTGTTCTGAACAGTGGAGTGTTTTTGGGACAGGGCGAGGATGAAGAAATGATATGTTTATAGCTACATGAGGAAGGGTATAATATATTTACAATTCTAATTGACTCTAACTAGGTAATAGATGAACAATAAATTTTTTTTGGTTTCCTAGTCATCTAGAAATATGCTGAAGTTAGCTGATCCACAAAAATCACTTTGAGTTTAGTGATCTTTCTTATACATTTGAGTCCTTTGAATTCCTGTTTTCATGATTTTATTATAAACCCATAATACTTCATATGAAATTCCCCAATATGCCATAGATTTGGCTATATCAAAACATTTCCCCATATAACTATAAATGCTATTTATAACATTTCAGTTTTCCCCTTACTGCATCTCAGTAAGAGAATGTTATTACACAAAATGTTATTGTTAGTTCCATTATCCTTCTCTCCTAATATATTAATTATAATTCAATTAAATAAAAATTATTAAGCACCCACTTTTTCTAGGCATTGCACATACAAAGACAAAAACTACCCTTGGAGGGCTTACATTGTTGGTGGTGGGGGAGGTGGGGAGAAGGGACACAGCACATACAAAAGTAGGTAAAGAGACTGATTATCTAAATATAGAAAAAATATAGTGAAAAGTACACTGGGCTTAAAATCAGAAAATATGAATTTATTACTAACTAGCTGTGTGACCTTGTACAAGGTCACTTAATCACTGTCTCAGTTTATCCATTTGTAAAAATGAAGAGTTTGGTTAAGATGATCTCTAAGGTCCCTTCTAGCTTTGTGCTACCTGTAATAACAACAACAATAATAGTACCTACCTCATTTCTACAGTGCTTTAAGGTCTATGGAGCATGTTCATCACAATAAGCTGCAGCGTAGGTTGTCTAAGTATCATTTTCCCTACTCTTGAAATGAGGAAACATTAGTTTAGAGAAGTGATGACTATGGTCACCCAGCCAGAAAGCACGAGGACTTGAACTCAAATTATCTGACTCAAACTGAGAGTGCTTTCCACTGCACCATGCTGATACACAATATAAAGCTTGAAATGACTAGGAAGTATAACTATCTTTTTATTATCTGTGGACTTAACATCCATTTTATCAATTATCTATACTTCCCACTTCTCTTTCCTTTTGCCATTGGCTGCCATTCAGTCTATTTTCCTGCATACATGATTTCTTGCTGTGTGCTGACCTACTCAGTACCACCCCCACCTTCATGAGAATCCAGGCAGGTGAAGGGAAAAGGACATGAAAAATAAAATTATTTTTATTTTTTTTTATTTTATCTCTACCAACTTAATAGAGTTGGTAGAGACAGAAAACATGCAATTTTTGAATAGTCTATGGATTTGATTCCCCATGTGATTCCTCTCAGCAACCATCCTGACTAATCAGCACTAGAGTGTTTAGACAGACAAGCTTTTACTATCCTAAAAATTTAGACCACTGACGCATGTTTGATTGGGTTATTTGTGATTATACTTTCAAGTTAAATTGCCATTGCTGCTTGGTATCTCAAACTCCTGTAGGCTAATGTTTCCAAGCTCCCAAAGAAAACATATTTCCTAAGGAGAACACAGCTCATTTATTCCCTAAAAGCCATTCTAAGCTATTCACAGGGGAAATAAGTATGACCAATGTAGCATAAGAAATATTTTACTAAGAGTTGATTAAAGATAGCTTCATGAATGATTAATTACAAAATTTAACATGTTGGAGAAGGAGCTTTTTAGTGACATTTAATTAAATGCCAACAAAACAAGTTCCAATTAAGCATTCATTATAGCAAGTACAGCACCATGGAAGGTTTCTTTATAAATCATTATTTAAAATGGAATACCAACAGCTTTACAAAAAATCTATAACTGGTATAACCATTGGTCAAAGTTTTACATATTAAATGTTTATCTTTTTATTTTTTAATCTTTTGTTATTATTAAAAGGTTAGCTATTATATACATATATACTCACACACATATATAGATATAATAGCCAAACTTTTATTATCAAAATAAAAACATTCAACATATTAGACATTGAATATACACACATATACACATGCAATAGATAATCTGTTATTATCAAGACAAAAACAGAAACTGTGCACTAAAGATAAAGCAACTTCAGTTGTCTAAGACAACTAGTTTCATGGTCTAGGATACACAGAATCCTAAATTTAACTATTGTGTATGTATGTATGTATGTGTATAAATGTATATGTACATATACATATATATGTATAATATATTACATTTAAACACAATTGCCTTTTATTATCAAGATTAAGCCATTCTATATATAACTTTGAATATATGTATATACACATATGCATAGATGCATGTGTATATGTATATATAAATTACATTACAGGATTTATGTAAGTAGCTTGACCTCCCTGGGTCTTGATTTTATTACCTGGAAAATGAAGAGTTCAGATTAGCTGATCTCTTAGGTCCTTTCCAGCCCTAAAATCTTATGGTTCTGTGATTTAAGAAATAAATAGCATGTAGCCATGGTAGATCTCTTTCTGTGTGTGACATAAAACAGCCCCAGTGCTTCAGGAACAGAGAAGGATGAAATTGTGGGGGAGAAGTAATTTTCATGCTTCTGTAGCCATGTCATGAAGTGTGACTGTGACTGAGAACAGGACCTTCTGCTCACATAGAAATTATCTTTCTCTTGGACTGTTAGCAAGTAGGATGGGAATAAGAACTAAAGGTGTCTGTTACCTTTAGCGCTTGTACCAGGAGGCACTTTCACACTGAATGTGGGGCAGGGGGAGGTAATAAAACATAAAACTCTAAAACCTCTCTTTTTAAACCTATAAAATCTTGTTTTAACTCCTAAAGATTTGCTAGTCCTTAATAGGGTCTTATTTCTTTTGAAGGGAGAAAATATCATTCTGCTCAAAGAAACTTCAAATAAATTAGAAAGAAGAAATAGAAAAATCAAGGAATGGTTTGATAAGGTTTGACCAGAAGATGTTTTCTTACTGCTGAAACCTTGCTACATCATCCACTAGAAAGTGAGTAGACCATGCCATAAAGTGCTTCTCCTTGGCAAATGGAATTGGCATTGGCTAGAATATTTGATACTGAGTTGTCCCTGGGTACCCTTTTACCCATGAGAGAACTGAATGACTTATATCATTCAGAATTGGTAAATTGGCCCCTTTATGCAACCTGGTCTCTTATTTGAAACAAAAAAAATGATCATTTTTTAATTAACAAAAATTAGTTTTCTTTCCCTCCCACTTCCTCCACCATTGATGAAAAAAAAAAAAAAAACCCAACAGCCCCTAAATCCTCGTAACAAAGATGCATAATTAAGTGAAACACAATGCCACATTGGTCATATCTGAAAATATATGTCTCATTCTGCACCTTGAATCCATCACTTCTCTACTACATGGCCTCTTAAAGGCTTCTATAGATTTTCCCTTTATCACCACTAGCAGATGAAACATTTCCCAAAGTTATCTGAAGACAGTCTTGCTAAGATTTCTACATTCCTAGTCCTCACAGATTTTTCCTTCCCTGTTTGAAATAGCACTTCAGTAGTTTGGAGTTAAAAAACAGTTTTCTGTTGCTTTTTCCTACTGTGATTGATTTCTGTTGGATCAGAAATATGTATCTTAACTGTTACTTTTTAGTAAAAGCAAAATAGGTGAATTATACAAGTACATTTGAAGCTCTTTGAACCAGAGTGGTCTGGTTAGGCTTACTTAAACCTAAAATGAGCCTAGCTTTTTGCCTTATTCAGAAAGTCTTTATAGATTAGCATTCCATCTCACAAGTTTTATTTTATTTTTAAAAACAAATTTGTGTTGATGTCTTTTGTTTATCATATTTTGTTTATCATATTATCATAGTTATCCCCTGTTGTTCATGCTTTGTTTTTGAAGAGGCCAGTGATATCATGGGGTGATATGCTCCTGAATTGCTCCTGAATTGGATTTAAGTGAGGCAGAGAGTTGCACAGTCTTCAGTCTTACTCTCTCTTCTACAATCCAATGGCAAGACAAAAGTCAAGAAGACAGGTGATGGCCAGGATGCAGTGGATGACCTTTCATCTTCAATGTTTGACCAAGCTCTAAGTGCTCCCCACAGAACCTGCTTCAGCCGCTTTCATGACTGTTGGAACAAATTCTTCTCATTTGCTCATTCTGATGGTGGATGTCTTCACACACTTGGAGTAAACACCCTAGTAACTCACCAATAGGTTTGAAGCTAGTTGGTTACCCTTAGCCTGGTTTAGCCTATCTGCCAAGATGAGAATATTTTACTGGGGTGTGGCTGCTGTGCATTCTTCAGCTCCTTGGAGCCACAGCTGAGACAGTTAGGTAACAAGTAGACACCAAAGGTGGATGAACAGCCCTGAAAAGGGCTTGGCAAGCCTTCATGCCTGGGGTGCTAGTCCTTTTTGAACTCTACTGTAACCGGAGTAATGAAGACCTGAATTCAAACCCAGATACTGTCACAATATTGTGTGACTGTGAACAAAATCGTTATCCCCAATGGAACCATTCAATATACCATAGCATTTTTTTAAAGAAGAAAAAAAAATCTTCACAAATGATTGATACGTTGAAAAAGTCTGAAAATGTGCACCTATGTAAGACCTGTGGACTTCTCACCTCTATGAAGGGCTTGGTTGGAGGTGTCCTCTATTAACTTTTAATTTGAGTCATGCTTGATCTTTATAATATTATTACATTCTCTCTCCCTCTCTCTCTCAGTGGGTCATTTCCATTTCCATTATTGTTGTCATTTTATATATTGTTTTCTTGACTTTGTTTAATTTGTTCTGCATCAGTTCATGTAGATCTTTCCATGCTTCTCTTTATTCATCATTTTCATAAATTTTATTCCATCACGTTCATGTACCATAATTTGTTTAGCCATTTCCCAATGAATGGACATCTTCTTTGTTTCCAATTCTTTACTATTAAAAAAATGTGCTGCTATAAATATTTTGGTATTCCTGGGGACTATTCTTATTAATGACTTCCTCGGGGTGTAAGTCCAGTCAAGGAATCTCTATTTCAAAGGATATGGACATATTAGTCAATTAATTTGCATACTTCCAATTTCTTTCCAAAATGGTTGTATTATCTCATATCTCCACCAACAATGTATTAGTGTATCTATCATTCCACAGTCCCTCCAACATCAACTGTTGCCATGTTTTTGGTCACCTTCAGCAATTTGGAAGATGTGAGGTAAAACCTTAGAGTTGATTTGGTTTGCATTTTTCTTTTTACTAGTGATTTGGAGCATTCTTTCATGTTGTTGTCAATACTTTGCAATTATTATTTTGAGAATTGTTCATTTTTTTAAACCACTTATCTTTCGGGGAATGGATATTAACCATATTACATACACATACACACACACACACACACACATACTATTTCTCTCTCACTCCCTCTATCTTCATCTATCTATATATCTATCATATATATATTTTGAAAACCAAGCCCTTATAAAAATATTTAATATAAAGTTTTCCCCCCATTTCCTTACTTTTCCTTCTTACCCAAGGTGCATTAATTTAGTCTGTACAGAAGTTTTTCAGTTTCCTGAAATCAATATCTATTTTATCTTCTGTAATTGCCTGTCTCTTGTTTGACTAAAAATACATATCCTACCCATAGCTGTGAGTTTCTCCAGCAATTTGTTCCATTCCATATTATTTTTTTTCTATTTCTACTGGACTTATCAAAAACTGAGAGATATTGAAGTCTTCTGTCACTATTTCGTTACTGTCAGTATCTTCTTGTAGCTCATTTAATGTTTGCTTTGTAAATTTGGATACTAAAACATTTAGAGTGTTTGAGTTTATTACTGATATTGGCTTGTTATCCATAGCTATGTTCAATATAATGTAGTTTGCTTTTTAATCCCTGCACATCAGATATTCCTCTCTATCCTGCTATTTTCCCCCTCTGCTGCCCCTTTATGTATCCTCCCATGTTGTATTGTAGTCCCACAAAAAAATTTGAATTCACCTGGAGAAGAGTGTGGTTAGATTCTGTCCATAATGCCCCATTCTCATCTCATTACTGTTACCTCCACCTTCACCTCTGTCTCCTTTTGTACATTTAGAAAGAAGTCTCTTATTGATCTCTTTGTTGCTTTTGCTATCCTTAGATGCTGCATTCATTCATCCCTCCTACATTCTGTTGTCTGGGGTATTTGAGAAGCAAATAATTTCTTCAGATCTAGTTTTCTTTCTAAGAACATGTCAAGCATCTCTTTGTTGTTGTTGTTGTTGTTAAATGTCCACTTTTTAAATTTATAATTAAGCTCAGATTTGGAGGGTAGCTGATCCTGGACTACATCTTGAGCACCAATTCTCTTTGCAACACATTATTTCATTCCCTCTTGCATTTTCTGGTGGGTGCAGAATAGTCTTATTATTCAAATTTTATTTCCTTTATATTTGAAGATCTTTTCCCTGATCACTTGCAAAACTTGTTTCTGACTTGAATTGTTAAATTTAACCATTATGTGTCTTGAAGTTTATAGCCTTATATTTTTTAAAGAGGCAATCTATGAATTTTTTCAATTGAGATTTTGTTTTCTGTGTTTAGAAGTTCTGGGTGGTTCTTGTATTATTTCTTGCATTACAATGTTTAGTTGTTTTTGTCTTGTGTTCTTCTGGTAGACCTATGACCTTTAGGTTGTCTCTTTGCATCCTGTCTTTGAGATCACTATGTTTTACTTAGATAGTGAGCCTATTTTCTTTAATTCAATTAAAAAATTTTTTTTGCTTCTTTTCTTTAGATTGTCCTTCAATTCTGTATTTGCATTCCAATTCTATTGGTTTTTTTCTTTTGTTTCTTTTATGAAACTTGCTGTCTCAGATTCAAGTTTTTCTATTTTCCCAATTATTTTTGTTGTGCAGGTGATAAATTCATCTCTCTTGCTTATAATTTTTCTTTTAAATCACTCAGGAACAGCATGTTGTGGGTCTACATTTTTCAATTCCACAGGGTTCTCTGTCTCATCAAGTGTTGGACTGTTTGCTTTGCAGGATTTATTCATAGATTTCTGAGCTCATTTAGTAGCTCTGGAGGCCATATTTCTATCGTTATGTTTTCCCTGTTGATTAATCTGCATATGCAAGGCCTTTTAGTCTTTTTTTTCCCCTGAGGTCTTTGGTAATTTCAGTCTACCCCCTCCTTTCCTCCTTATTGCTCACTTTTTTACTTCCTCCCCTAACATAGTAGTTTTCCTGGAGGCTGGATCTCAAGGTGTCTCAGCCTCTTCCCACACTGGGTAATTCATGGTTCACCAGTTCAGGTCTCTGCTCCAAGTGACTCTTTTTTGGGGGACAGAACTGGCCCAAGCTAGATGCTGAGCTTTTTCTCTTACCTTTGTGAAGTATCACACAGCCTCCTCCATTATCTCCCCCCCCCAAACATGGTATCCTGTGCTAGTGACCTGGCCTTTTTCCTCAGTTTCTGAGTCTTCCAGCCTGGCACTGGCAGTTCAGAAAGCAGCTTTACTGGTGATCCAGGATTGATTTCTATACTTTGGGTCTCCAAGGCTTCAGGAGGAAGATGGAATGGAGTATGGGATCTAGCACTATTTCAAATATAAACTCATGTCCTGGCCTTTTCCTTCCATTACTCTATTCTCTTATGAAGATCTTTTGCAGCACTGAGCACTGCTGTTGTGGAGCTGGCTGACTATTGTGGTCCCAGAAGACTTCTGTACCCTAGAGTCTCGATCTTGATGGAAATGGAAAGAGGAGGGGATGCCTGGATTGTAGGGATGGGTTTCTTAAATGCTTGGGTGTCAGGTCCTTGGGTCAGCTAGTGCAGCTTTGCTGCTGGTAGTATGTAGAGTGGTGGGGGAGGGGGTGTCAAGTGAGCTCAGGGTAGGCATTAGTTTATATATGTGTATATATATGTATATATATACATATATGTGTGTGTGTTCATGTATGTATGTGTGTATGTATGTATGTATGTATATGTCTAAATTTTTTTTGTTTCTGGGGTGCAAGACCATGAAGACAACGGAAGTTTTATCTTTGGAGAACAATTTCTGTTTAGGTGAGGTTTGAGAGCTTGTGGAGACCAGAGAAAATGTCTAGTCTTGCATTTGTTGATGATATGATTAGGAGGCTTCTCCCCCTCCCCCCAATCTGTTTTAGATAACTCATTTTTTTTCCTTCATAGGATCTTAGATTAGAGCTAAAAGCAATGTTTGATGTCACTCAGTCCTACTATCTCATTTTACAGTGAGGAGACTAAGACAAAGAGTGATTGTTACCTAGGGTCGTAGCTCTGGGTCTTAGATATGGAACTGGAAGGGAACTTAGAGGACCTTAAATCCTCACCTTAAAGTAAAGACATTGAAGCCTAGAGAGTTTAAGTGACTTACTCAATGTTGAGCCCAATGCTACTAGCACACTGCCGTGAATAGTCTTGCTCGTTCCCAGGAATTTTTTCCTTATGTGAGTGTTTGTGTAGGCTTCACATACTGATCCACTTGGGAGATGGTCAGGGGACAATTGTGGTATGTCTGACTTTTCTTCAAAGAGGTATCCCATATATGTACCTTTCTTGCTTCTGGTACCTCCTTTGGAGTAGAGAATAAATCTGTGATGAGATAGAAATCGTTACAACTAGCCTGCTTTCTCTAAATGTGCTTAGCTAGCTAGCTAGAGCATTTATGAAGTACATACTATATGGTAGACACTATGCTACCTACTGTAGATAAAAATATAAACAAGCAAGACAATGAGATTACTTTCTAATGGGGAATTGGAAGGTGAAGAGAGGAAAGGGATTTGGAGCTGGTGACCAGGAAGCGAGCCTAGGCAAGATAAGGTGAAAGTTCACCTATCAGAACCAAAGAGAGTTTTGGTAGAGGAGTATAAGGTGCTGGTGGTGGGCAGAAGGGAAGTCCAGGTGACCTAGTTTGCTGATTGGTTGTAGATTCCATTCAATTCTTCTAGGACAGTGGTACCAACTCAATAGAAATGTATCTTTTAGGCTGCAACCACAAATTAACATTATTTACGTTGTGTTGTATTTTTATTTTGCTAAACATTTTCCAATTATATTTTAATCTAATTTGGGCAATGCTTAGCAATTTTTCCAGATCTTCAATACAAGTTTGACACCTCTGCTCTAGGAGACTATTTGAGGACCCCAGTTGGGCTTCTTAGACTGTATAGAACAGATAATTCTACTACAACTTTCCATTATGACATCTCATAAATCAATAAGTCCTTAAATATTGCTTTTTTTACGAAACTGAGAAAAATGAAAGCATTGCTTCTCAGGTCAGAGGGAATTCGGGTTTAAAACCCACCTCTGATACTACCAGTGTGATTTTGGGCAGGTCATTTAATCTTCTTGGTCCTCAATCTCCTCCTTGTTAACATGAGGGAATTGGATTAATTGGCCTCTGATTTCCTTTTCATATCCAGATCTGTGATCCTATGATCTTATGACTTTAAATTAACAAGGTCTATTGGGTCATGAGTAGTAGAGTCCCGGGCTGAGAGTCAGAAGAGCCATATCGGAGTTCTGGCTGAGTAATACATTACTTGTGTAAGCTGGATAAGTAACTTCAATAACAGGTTCAAAACCTAGGAGTCATCCTTGACTTTTCACTCTCCCTCATCCTACAAGTCCAATCTGTGCTAAACCTTATTTAGTCTAGTGCAGAGGTTCCCAAACTTATTTGGTCTACCTCCCCCTTTTGAAAAAAGT